CTTTGTTTTTATTGTGAGTATACAGTATAGTGCTGGTTGGCAGTCGGCTGTAGTCTTTGCAGTGTTTTCAAGAGAAGCTTTTTGTCCCAGAGCGCAGCCGACGCAAGGCTAGTTCTTTGATGTCGGCTTGGTGTGTTACAGCCTTAAAATGCAGCACTTTTTTACACGACAGGGGTCCCTGGTCCATTTCTCTATACATCAATTTAGCCTTTGCCTGTAAATGGTTGAGGACCCCTGGTCTAGAGCCAAAGGAACATGTGTTTTTACAATGCCTGGTTAAAAGTAAATATATTTTCATTTGGGAATGGTCACATGCTTGACATTGAGAGTTTTAGTGAGGCAGGGTCGTACACTGCACAGACTCTATTTATAATGAACCCCTATATAAATAGACAGACCTAACATAGTGATGAAAAACTTAAACACAGAGACCCACATATGTGTGGATTCAAATTAGTATGACCTTAATTCAGTGTCCAGGTTTATGTGCAGTTTGGTACTTAGCTGAGAAATCTCCTTTGTGCTCTTGCAGATCAGGCTCACATAAAAGCTAGATGTTTGAGTTTGAGGGATTCTCATGCTGTTTCCAGCAGGGGAAATATATACCAGCAGATGTATTGTTGACTTTTCCAAAGTGATTTATATACTTGAATGTGGTTTAATTATTGATTTAAGGGTCCTGTTAATGTTATTTAAGAAAATCAATATCCAAGATGACATTAAAAGGAACTGGTTAAAAATTTACTTATACACTGAGTTGCATTTGTTTGCCCAGTACGAGAGCTTCTTGAGAAGCAAATCAGCATATTATAATATATCTCAGGGTTCCAGACTGCGACCAAATTGGTCGCATATGCGACCATTTTTTGAGAATGTGCGAGTTAAAATGTTATGTGGTCGCATTTGTGCGAGTGGACGCTTGAGCAACAGAACGCCGTTGTATCAGCTGCTGCAGTCCGTGACTTATGTTCAAAATGAACGAGTAGGCTACATCATGAATCCATTTTCCAAACCGTGTTTTTGACTTATTCTGAATCACTACGGTACGCCTATAATAAGTGTTTATATTCGGACTGTTTTATCCCGGGGTCGTCTCGGCTGCGGAGTAGCCCAGTGCCTGCGTGACTCGCCATAGACATTAACGGAGAGAAGTTCCGTCTACAATCTTCTTCCGCAAGACACGTGCAGTTTATTTATTGACGAACGTAGACGTCACGCGCATAGCACACTGATGGTGAAACGCGCCGAATTAAGGTATATAAAAATGGTCTCACGAAACACAGAGCCCCTTCCTCCTACGTCTTTTCAGCGGTTATATTTTCCTCTGTCGAGCGATTACTCTCATGATCGCTCGACAGAGGAAAAGGAAATTATTATAAAATGCAGAAGGTAAGGAGTGTGAGATTTCTGCTTTTTGTTACAACTATAAACTTTGATAACGAAAAATCTGTATCAGTTTATTATAATACTCTAATCTTTTAAAATGTAATGCATACATTTGAATGTTTAATGATTTTTAAAAGATAGAAAGATGATAATAGACAGACAGACAGACAGACAGACAGATAGATAGATAGATAGATAGATAGATAGATAGATAGATAGATAGATAGATAGATAGATAGATAGATAGATAGATAGATAGATAGAAAGAAAGAAAGATAGATAGATAGATAGATAGAATATGATTCAAATGTAAATAGATAGATTGTATATAATTCAAATGTAAAATGCTTAAAATTACAGATTAAAATTACTGTCCAAAATCCATGAAAATCCTGAAATTTGGCAATGATAATTAATATATTACAGGTATTTCTGCTGCAACCCAGAAAGCCTTTGCTAGCCTTGGTCCATTAAAACCACTATTCATCAGCATGCATTGATTAATCCCATGGCATGTAGCCAAAAAAAAAAAAAAAGGTGCGACCAAATCATATGCTGGTGCGACCAACTGAGAAAGTTGGTAGCACCAGTGCAACCAGTGGAAAAGTTAGTCTGGAGCCCTGTATCTATAGAATGATTTCTGAAGGATCATGTGACACAGAAGACTGGATTAATGGCAGCTGAATATTCAGCGTTGCCATCACAGGAATAAATTGCATATTAAAATAGTTTTTTGTTTTTTTACTGTATTTTTGTCCAAATAAATGTAGCCTCAGTGAGAATAAGAAACTTCTTTCAAAAACCCTCAAAAACGTATAAACATTAGTATATAGCCCCTTTCACACAGCGCTTTGAACCCGGCAAATTGCCGGCAAATTGCCAGAGTGCCTTCTGTGTGAATTCAAACACAACCCGGGACTGATGCCGGGATCGATGCCGGGTTGGGGACCTAGTAACATTGCCGTGTTCAGACCCGGAACGCGCGCTGTGTGAACAAAAGCCGTAACCAATGCCGTGTCGTAATGATGACGCTGAAGTGTAGTGAAAGCAGGCTAGTGAAACGGTACGTAATGCGCTAGTTTATGATCGAATCAGAGAAAAAAATGCACACGCGTGGTTTCTCCAGAGAGAAATCGCAGCTCATAAGCAAACTATACACGTTGCTGAGACATTACATGTCACATCGATGTCACGTGTCTTTCCCGAACATACACGGGTTGTGTGTGAACGCGCTCTCTGATTCCGGCAAATAACTGGCAGTGTGAATGAAGCAAAATCAAACGAACCCGGGTCAAATCCCGGGTCGCTTTATCCGTGTATTTTCCGGAATGTCTGTGTGAAAGGGGCTTATGTAAATTCACCCACTGCACTTCTTCAAATCTGATAGCACATGGCTGCAGTCTTATTATGGAAATGTATGTTGTTTAAAAGCTTAGCTGATGCTAGTTCGCTCAAAAAGGATAATTCTGTCATCAATGTTGGATCTTTATTTAATGTAAAAATATGCAGTTAATGGTCGAAAAAACTACAACTGCAGATGGAAAGAGGCATTCAGACTTCTAAAGAGAGAAAAAAGGATTCTGAGGTACAAATAATTAATTAATTATTTAATTATAACTGTGATTCAAATGAAGTTAGAGGTGCTTTAATGCAGCTTAGACCAGCTGTGCATTTGACTGAGGCACTGACCCCCTCTGCCCCATGTTCACTACCCCTCACGGTCTGTCTTTCTCCTTGTTGATCCCTTCTCAGCTTTTAGACAGTGACAAGCAGATCAAGTGTCAATCACTCATCTTGGACAGCATTTCTCCTCCCACTAGAGATCTGTGTCCATTCACTATGCCAGCATGGAGTCAGTCTCTGGGTGTAGCTATGTAGTTGTCTCAGTGAAAATCCTGGTTGCACTGTTTCCTTTAAAAACCCTTTGCTGTAAATTCCCTTGACTCTTTCTGTTCTTACAAGTAAAATACATTTGACTGAATTGTGTATTTTGGTAAACGTATGGAATTCAAAAGCATTGTTTTTCCACAAATAACATAATACAATAGTCAGTTAATGTCACATAAAGGGAGTCAGTTCAGTTCAGTTGGAAGCAATTTTATATATATATATATATATTTTTATACTTTCACTTTACATTTTAATTGTAGTTTAGGTTTTAGTAATTTTATGTGCTTTTGTCATTTCTACCATTTCTATTAACTTTATTTTTTATTTCATTTTTAGTCATTTTAGTACTTAAACTTATTTCGTTAGTTGCCAAGGCAACGTTAATTTTTAGATACGTTTTTTACTTTTAAGTTTTCGTATAATTTTTACATTTTATTTCAACTTGATTTAAATGACGGATTTAAAAAAATATATAATTAATATAATATTTATTAAATATTATAATTATATAATAAATATATATATTTTATAATAGCAACACTGGCTGGATGATTTGAGCTGATTTTTTTTATTTTTTTTATGTATGATGTGTAAAAATACATAATACATTACGGAGAGGATAGTTTACCTAAAAAATGTACATTTATAATTTACTCACCCTCATGAATTTCTTTCTTATGTGGAACACAAAAGTAGATATTTTGAAAAATGTAGTGCCCATTGACAAAAACATAAATATTTTCTTATGTGTTCCACAGAAGAAAGAGTCATATGGCGCTTTTCCACTGCATGGAACGGTACGGTTCGGTTCGGTACGGCTCACTTATGGCGCATTTCCACTGCATGGTACGGTACGGTACGGCTCGCTTCGGCTCGCTTTAAATGGTACCTGCTCTGTTGAGGTTCCAAGCGTACCGTACCGATACTAAATGTGACGTGAAAACACTACAGATCACTGATTGGTCAGAGAGACAGAATCGTCACTATCAGCGTCATTGTATTTGCGACACGAGACACTAAACCCACTAGATTTAAATAGCCAGTAGACAACAGCCACCGCTGTAGCACCTGTTTTAAAACTACTTGCTTGACTTGCTTGAAGAAAAAAGAAAGAAAGAAAACTTCCATAAAAAAGAAATGGCTGAATCGTGGTCAGTGGACGAAGTGCAGACGTTCGTCTCGTTGGTTGCCGAGGAGCGGATAAACTATAACGGTCCGACTATAATCCCACCCACTTTGAAGCGGTACTAACTGCAGTGGAAAAGCAAACCGAGCTAAAGCGAGCCGAGCCGTGCCGTGCCGAGTCGTACCAGCAGTGGAAAAGCAAAGCGAGCCGAACCGTGTCGCGCCGAGCCGAACCGTACTGAGCCGTACCGAGCCGTACCAGCAGTGGAAAAGCGCCAATACAGGTTTAGAACTACACAAAGGTGAGTTAGTGATGATAGAATTTTCATTATTTGGGTAAACTTATCCCTTTAATACTTTCTTTTAATTGTAAGACACTGCATATTTATTATGTAGTTTGCATGTTTGTGTTTACACTTTTTTCCCCTTGTGCATGTTTTGCTCCAGCAGCTTGTGTAGAGTGTGAAGGGGTGGGGCTTTTGAGCTTTGGGTGTGTCCATAACTTTCTGAGTGACAGGCAGCCAGGCAGTGTGAGAGGGGAGGGGCAGAGTGTGTGAGGGCGGTCTCTACCTCATGAGCTGCTGCAGTGTGTGGGGAGTGTGTCAGTGTGTCGGAGACCTGCAGTTTGGAAGGGTTAGTGAGCAACACACACAAACTTGCCCACTCAGCACACATGCACGCACACCCACACGCAGCCATGGCACAGGACGCTGCCGGACTCACTGGAAAATGAATCTAATGAAGGGAAGGACAATCCGCCTGCAGCATGGTGAGTACAGACAGCGGTGGAGTTTAGAGGTGCTAATGGCTTTACCTTACGGGGGTTGAGACGGGGGAGGGGTGGGAGAGAGGGGGATACTGTTACTGTTTTTACTGAGTTTTACTGTACTGCTGCTGATTACATGTATATCAACAGTGTAAGATTGAGTATACTAGAAGAGAAGGGTGTAGCTAAGCGGGAACATCTTTATAGTGTTGTAGTTTGCTGGTTATTCAAGGTTTATGTGAACAGAACCTCTAGTCATTGTGTGTTTTTAATGAATAAGTGGTCAGAGTGTGTGTTGGTGGTCTTCTACTGTCCTTGACAGAGGTAAAGCAGCCGAGGGGAGCGAAACTGTGGATTCAGCACTTCACTGAGAGCTGACTGCATTCTGCTGTTTTTCTGTAGGTTTCATAGAGCCGGCTTGAATATGTCTGTGTGTGACATATCTTCATGACTATCGGGGTGTAGCCATATGTGTGTGTGTGCTTAGTCCTGTCACGCCAGCTGTTCTCTGCATTACACTCGTCTCTTTTACATCTCAGCGAGCCTATAAAGAGGTCAGCCATGCAGAGAGGAAGGGAAGTGTGTATGTGTGTGCAACACTCTTGGCCTTTCGCTCTCTTAAAGGTGACTGCTGCCCTGAAGGTGAGGAATGAAGGCAATATGTTTAATCTGAAACCATATTTTTCTCCATCGTGTTTGAAAACACTGACATGTGTGGATTCAATTTAGCCCTGTCTTCTGTATGATGGAATGTAAGATGGAAAGAGGGGCAAAATGAAGTGTTTAGAGTAGAAGTATGTTGCTATTAGTACACTCATATGCTCATTCATCAGTCCAAACCACAATTACGCTCCGAGCAGGTTGCGCTGTGCTACATCTGCTCGTTGAACCACAAACATTCATAGTTCTAACTCTTTATGAGGCACTTCCTCTGACCTGAAGTGTATCTTCTCTAAGAGCGCTGCTGGGCTTGTCCTGTGAACAATCGCTCTGTCCTTGTAATTGAGTGAGCTGGGTACAATTTACGAAGTCAATCTAAACATCCAATCCCCCAAACTGCATATGGTTCAGTTTTTCAGGAAACACTGCAGCTCTGGCTCAGTGATCTGTAGCTTACAATAGCTGTAGAGGTAACTGGAAACAAATGCGTTTAAAAGCTAAATAGCCTCCCGCTCATTCATTCAAGTCCACCTCTGCTTGTCTAGATGCCAGAGCCTTAAATTAGGCCCATTTATTGTCCTTCATTGCTTTTTTTTGTGTGTCTCTGGGCAATTTAGCAGCGAGGCGATCTTTAATTCAGCCCACCTCACTGTAGAGACATTTGTCCAAGGGTCACTGGGTTATCTAGTTACTGTGTTTGAAGAGCAGGTTTACTCAGATGCTTTAGAGAGGTCTGAGGTTTGTCTGGAGTGTTCAGGTAGAGGGCTTTTCCTGAGCCTGCCCTGATGTGTTAAACTTTAACTCTTCAGAGAAAAGCTGCATGCTTAGAAGATTTCATGACTCTTGACTGAAGAATTTCGCCGTTCCGTTCTTCAGGGGCTTCGTGAGGAAGGCAGCTGCAGGGTTTTTGATAAATAGGGGGTCTCAACAGTAATAACAAACATCTTGTCTACAGTATTTAATGTATAGGCATGTGTCTCATGTGTGTGTGTGTGTCTGAGGGTTTACTTAACTTTAAGGAAGTCCCAAGAACTAAGATAAATCTGCCAATGTGGCCCTTTTGGGTTATATATATATACTTATACATTCACTGCCGTTCAAATGTTTTGAGTCGGTATGATTTTTGTAATGCTGCAATTATTTGATCACATAGAGTACGTTTTTTTTAAATATTATTAATATTAATGTTATTGTGATTTCAATTAGCTGTTTTCTACTTTATTATATTTTAAAATGTAACTTATTCATGTCACATGATCCATTAGAAATCATTCTAAAAAGCTGATTTTGTGCTCTAGAAATAGGGGTGGGCCAGAAGACCAAAATCATGATACGAGTCATTTTATTTCACGATAACGATATATATATATATATATATATATATATATATATATATATATCACAATATAGTTATTTTTGCTTTAAATAAGGTTTTTATGATATCAAAATTGGTTTTCATTTGAAATTTCATAATTCTTGTCACCAATTTCAATATCACAAAAAGTAATACTAGCCTAAGTAAAAAAAAAAAAACTCAAGCTGACTGAAGACAAGTAAACAGCGATAAAATAAGGACAAAGAAACTAATTACAAGCATATAGGAAAACAAACTACAATAGAACAAAGACACAAATGAAATGGACCTACCTGAAAAACTTCAAGCACCAGAAATAAGAAATACTACATAAATAAACGGAGCAATTCCAATAGGGTCCTCACAACATCGGTGCTCGGGCCCTAATTAAATTGTATAAAATAATCAAATGTATAAAAACACTGCATAGTCTTCACTGTGCAAAATTAAATTAGCATTTATTCTGATTAAAGTTACAAAAGTGATTCAGTCAGGGGCAATGAGAGTCTTTTTTTGGATTAACATTAATGACACAGAAGACAGCAGGTATAGTTGGATGCTTTAAGACCGAATGCCTTGATCCAATATACTGATTCACATGCGTTTTCTTTCTATGGATGTTGTTCCATTCCTGCAAGCATTTTTTTCTCTCTCCATACAGTGAAAATCAATGGGGGTCCCATGTTGTATTGAGCCCAAATGATTTTCATTGTTTGGGTAAAAACAGCTGAAACATTCTTCAAATCTTTTTTGAGTTTTCATTTTTAGGTGAACTATCGCTTTAAAAATGACATTATCTTAATGTATAAATCAGGATTTCAAAAGAGTTGAAAGCCACCTTTGGGTTTGACGGAGTTGTGCTGAAAGATTATATTCTAAATAACATGAATAGAACTGCATTATGAATCAGTGTATTGCTATGGAACTTGTTTTGGTGGCTCTTGTTGCTTCAAGAATGCTGTCACACCCTTTGGGTGTCTTTCCTTTAACGTGGTAATCCCAACACACTAGGCAGGAAAGAAAACCGTTCTGTGTGGAGCAATGAATGGTCCACTTGTAGAGGAAAAGATGAATTGGATAAATAAATAGGATAAATAAATGTGCACACATTTTAGTGAGATGTAAACTCATATTTAGGTGAATTCTCACTGCCCTTTTACGTCCCGTGACATATTTTAGCAGATGCCAAAATAGTTGCGTCTAAATTCGCTGTGATAACAAAGGCTACTTCTGAAGGACATCAAGGAATGTCAGACATCAAGTTGGGAAAGTCACCATTAGACAGAAACTTGCTCATGTTATTCACACTGACCTGGTAGCTTACTCCGAATGTTGTTAAACACAATTGCCCTCAGAAGTACAAATCCAGGTTCAGTTGAAATCTTCATTTAAAGGATTGGTAAAGGGTAACTGTCCTAGAATGGCTATACTTTGTTATCATGTGATCTTCTGAATTGTTTATCTTCACAGTTGGTGCCCATTGCTTGTGCCAAATGAAAACATAGGGACCCCCCCGCAAATTTATGTAACCCCTTCCACATGACCTTACTCTGTCACATCCTGCTGAGTTCAGCCCCAGACAGTGTCTCCACACAATCCAGCTCTCAGCCAATGGAGTCTCACTTCACAATAGAAGAGACGAGGACTCAATCCATCAGTGGCAGAGGGCCAAAAGTCAAAGTTTTTTTGTGTGTTTGGCTCATGAATAGGCTTTGATCTCAATGTAGCCGCTCTGAAGTTGTACACCGTTCTGGAGATTAACCCCAAAGACCCAAGGACTCAAGATTTTAAGTTGTATATTTGACTGATTATGTGCCAGTGGTATTAGATGGAGTCCCATCTGCAGGTTTGAATTTCAGGGAAAGACTGATTAAAATTAGTTGGGATTTATTTTGAGGAGACACTTGAAGCTAAAAGCTGCCGGCCCCTTAATGAATGTGTATCGGTTAGCTACTGCCACTCAATCGTCTTAATCCACATTCACTCATTCAGGATTCATTGAAGTAGTAGAGACATAGAGTTGACATAGTAGTAGAGACTTATAGAGATACATTATGATAGAAACTCTGTTGAGCTGGAATAGCAGAACGAATCATAACATTCTTTCTGTGAAAACAAAAGGCTTTTCTCAGGTGACCTATGCTGGACTTGTCCAGTCATTTAGTTCACTTAAACCCGCCCCTGCACAATCGACTTCAGGCTCGCAATACATTTTTAAGTTAAACGCCACATCTCAAAATCCAATCAGCAACCGGTGCAGAGAACTAAGTCCCCTCCCTACATTTTTTTTCTTGTTCGGTTATCTGTTTCACTCTGACGTGTCATAATACGGAAGAAAATATCCATTGCACTTGTGTTTCATTGCAACTTAAATGATTGCTATGATCTCATACCATATCCTGGGCCATGTGACAGGAGAGACCCACTGAGGAACTCTTGAGTATTTCCTACTCATTGGATTTAAGCAATGGCCCCTGTACCGTGAAATTAATTTGATATACCAAGGTACTTCAAAGAACACTGTAGTATTACCACCATGCTAAATGTCCATAAATTAAACATAGTATTGTTCGTGCAGCGATTTCATCAAGTAGAATATAGAATACCATCTGTCCTAAACTGCTGGTGTATGTTCTGTGTAAGTTGGGCAAGATATTCAGATGATCAGTTCTCTGTTTTCATTTCAAGGTGAATGAAAACACACATGCATCCATTGGTCACACTCTACAAAGCCTTCAAGAATGACTGTAGGGCCCAAATAGTATTAATGATGGACATTTGATTGTTTTGAGTTGACAGCTGTAGATGGACAGAGCCTCTTATGAGTCTTGGCTTCTCCAGGCACACTGTTTACAGCTTGACGCCAGCCCAGTGGCAGTATGAATCAGAGCGCTAGCCTGACGCCTCTGGGTCAGCATGTGGGCCGTCTGAAAGACTGACACTCTTCAAGCATTCAGAGAACTCGGATGGGATACTCTATATTGCTGTC